GAAGACCCTCAATGTTGTGCCTCCCCTCAATGTTGTGCCTCGCGATGGAGATCCGAACTTGGTGCCTTGTGTCGAAAGTCTTCCTGATATTGTGGTGTTCAGGCGGCGTGTTCCGTAGAGTTAACGGCGGTACAAGATGGTGACGGATTATCGCGGCGGCGTGTTCCGTAGAGTTAACGGCGGTACAAGATGGTGACGGATTATCGCTTGAGGGGAGGAGGTCACGAGACATGTGGTCCTTGGTCTGAATTCATCCCAAGTCCCACATCTGTAAAATGAAGGAACATTGGCTAGTTTATAAGGGTGTCCACCATTCCACATAGTATGAGGCCTTTTGGGAAGGAGCCCAAAAACAAAACCGTGCGGGCCTAGCCCAAAGCGGACAATATCATACTATGGTGGAGGAACGGGTGGACTAGCGGGCCCTACAAGTGGTATCAGAGCCAACGGTTCGTCTGGGTTTGATGCGGGAAGACCCTCAGTGTTGTGCCTCGCGATGGAGATTCGAACTTGGTGCCTTGTGTCGAAAGTCTTCCTGATATTGTGGTGTTCAGGCGGCGTGTCCCGTAGAGTTAACGGCGGTACAAGATGGTGACATGGTGACGGATTATCGCTTGAGGGGAGGAGATTGGTCCCACATCGGTAAAAATGAAGGAACATTGGCTAGTTTATAAGTGTCCACCATTCCACATAGTATGAGGCCTTTTGGGAAGGAGCCCAAAAACAAAACCGTGCGGGCTTGGGCCCAAAGCGGACAATATCATACTATGGTGGAGGAAAGGGTGGACAATCGGGCCCTACAAACGGGTCGTTGCAAACCAGGCAAAAGGCCTAAAAATCTTAGGCTTGAACGAGCCGTTCCTAAACCAGAACGGGACGTTTCAAATCGCTAAATAGCCTAAAAAACCTAGTTTGGAACGGGCCGTTCTAGCAATGCATTTTTGTGTTAATCTCAATCCCAAAACGGGCTGTTCTGGTTTCTGAACAGGCCGTTTCAGGATAAGAATTTAACACATAACGTTCAGATCCAGAACTGGTCGTTCTGAATTTGGAATGGGCCGTTCTGGCACCCTTCTGATGCCTATAAATAGACAGCTTGGGCACAGTTCTCAGGGCACAAAATTTTGTCCAAGACTCCTTAGAGCTCGAATTTCTCTCTCTCTCTCTCTCTCTCTCTCTTATTGTATTTCTTGAGTTTTATGAGACATATTATAGTGTGAAAGGTAGCCAAAAAGTACTTAAAAGTCCCCATATTTGAAGATTTAATAGAGCTCGTTCAAGAGGTATTTCAATCAATCTTCTTCTCTCTATTTTATTTTGTTATCTTTGATAAATATTGTTATAATAAAAGCAATCATGTAGGCATTTTAGAGTTAATTGTATAATTTAAATTTCAAGCATGTAAATAAATATATTAATAAATGGGATTAAATATTTAAATTATTAATTCTTATCACGTTAACTTCATCATAAGGTACCGATTGAAGGCGTTGTAGGGGTGCTTAATACCTTCCCTACATGTAACCGACCCCTGAACCCAATTCTGGTTATCAAGTTTATCAAGGCCATTATTGGATTTTTGAAAACCTTTTCCTTTTCCAATGTTTTGAGTAAAACATTGGTGGCGACTCCATGAACTCATTTTTCAAAACCATCAATTAAGGATTAGTCTGGGTCCGGGCATTCTTTAATTGATGAGATCTTTAAAATGATGTCTAAACCATAGGTCGCGAGATCGGAAATTTTCGGGTTGCGACACTAATAATGAAAATAGAAAATACCATCTAGTGTAGCCGTGGACATAGGTTATTTTGACCGAACCACGTAAATCTCTATATCTTGTTAATTTACTTTCTCTTTTGCAATTGTGCGTGTGAGTGCGTTTAGGATCCCCAATAGCTAGTATCAAGAGCCTAGGGTTTCACGCAAGTGGGAGCAATGACAGAAGAAGAGAAAGTGAAGATTGACAAGTTCGATGGGAGCAATTTTGGATTTTGGAAGATGCAGATTAAAGATTATTTGTATCAGAAAAAGTTGTACCAGCCTCTGTCCGAGAATAAACCAAAAACAATGTCTCAAGAAGATTGGAATTTGCTAGATCGACAGGCTCTAAGGGTCTTCAGATTGATGTTGGCGAAAAATGTCGCCTACAACATTGTCAATGAGAAGATGACATATGGTTTGATAAAAGCATTATCAAACATGTACAAGAAGCCATCAACATCAAACAAGGTATTTCTTATTCGTCAACTAGTTAATACGAAGATGGGAGAAGGTGCTAGTGTTACAGATCATGTGAATGAATTTAATTCCTTACTGTCGAGATTAATATCAGTGGATATTAAATTTGATGATGAAGTATAAGCCCTATTGTTGCTATCTTTGTTGCCTGATAGTTGGTCAGGAACTGTCACAACAATCGCTAGTACATCTAGGACTACAAAATTGACCTTTGAAGGAATAAGGGATTTAATCATTGGTGAGGATGTTTGTAGGAGAGTAGCCGAAGAATCAGTAGGTTCTTTATTGAGCACAGAAGGTAGGGGCAAAAGGCCTGAAAGGGGGCAAGGTTCTAGGCGTAATAGATCAAAGTCCAAGAAACGGGGACAGTCCAAGCATCGCAAGGATATTATATGTTGGAATTGTCAGCAGAATGGCCACTTTAGAAACCAGTGTACTGCTCTTTTTGGCCTTAAAGAAAAGAGGCATGAAAACATAGTAAATTCAGCACAAGAAGACATTAATGATGCATTAATTTGTTGCGTTGAGAGTAAGTTTGAATCCTGGATCATGGATTCTGGTGCATATTTCCATGCTTCTCCTTACAAGGACTCGATGAAAAATTTCAGAACTGGGAATTTTGGCAAAGTTCTTCTAGCAGATGATGAAGCTTTAGATATCGTAGGCATGAGAGATATAAATCTTAGAACTTTTGCGAGTACAGTATAGACACTGAAGGACGTTAAATATATTTTAGGACTCAAGATAATGTTAATCTCTGTGGGTATGTTGGATGTTCAGGGATCTCGAGTTACATTCAGAGATGGTCAATGGAAGATGGTGAAAGGTAATCTAGTTGTTGCTCACGGCTGGAAGAAAGGAACCCTTTACATGGTAGAATTACTTGTAGAAGATGTAAATTCAGTTAGTAATGATGTTGGTCATTCTTCGACTCTATGGCACCAAAGACTTGGTCATATGAGCGAGAAGGGTATGAAAATACTAGTCTCAAAGGGGAACATTCCAAAACTGAAAGAGGTAGAAGTTGGTTTCTATGAGCCATGCGTGTTTGGAAAGAAAAAAAGAGTTACTTTTGCCATGTCAGGGAGGACGTCCAAGGTTGAGAAGTTGGAGCTTGTTCATACAGATGTGTACGGACCAACATTAGTCTCATCATTGGGAGGATCACGATATTATGTCACCTTCATTGATGATTCCACCAGAAAGGTATGGGTTTATTTTTTGAAGTAAAAATCAGAAGTATTTAATACCTTTAAGAAGTGGAAAACTGCTATTGAGAATGAGACAAGATTAAAAGTAAAATGTTTAAAGTCTGATAATGGTGGTGAATACAGTAGTACTGAATTTGTTAATGACTATGCTGAGAATGAAATTAGAATGCTTAAAACTATTCCTGAGACACCTCAACAGAATGGTGTTGCTGAAAGAATGAACAAGACCTTGAATAAGAGAGCAAAGAGTATGAGAATTCATGCAGGGTTGCCAAAGACATTCTGTCAGATGCAGTGAGCACAACAACATACCTCGTTAATCGAGGACCCTCAGTTCCCGTAGGGTTCAAGATTCCTGAGGAGGAATGGCAAAGCAAGGATGTAAGTCATTCTCATTTGAAAGTATTTGGTTGTGTTTCTTACGTTTGTGTTAGAGATGCTGATAGGGACAAGCTTGATCCAAAAGCAAGAAAGTGCATTTTTATTGGATATGGAGAAAATGATATGGGATATCGCTTTTGGAATGATCAAAACAAAAAGATCATTAGAAGCAAAGATGTTATTTTCAATGAAAATGTCGTGTACAAGGAAAAATTTGAGACAAATGCTGAAGCTGAAAAGAAACCAACAAAGAAGCAAGAGGCAGTGTTAGATGACATTATAGAAGACGACATTGCAGGAAAATGTGAGAGCTCAGAAAATAAGACAGTTTATGAGACCACTCCAGTAATTGAAGTGAGGAGATCTAGCAGAGTTATTAGGCCTCCTCATAGATTCTCTCTTTCAACAAATTATTTGTTGTTGACTGATGATGGAGAACCTCTATGTTATCATGAGGCATTGCAGATGGATGATGCAACCCAGTGGGAATTAGCCATGCAGGAGGAGATGAAGTCACTTGAGAAGAATAAAACTTGGTGTTTGACTGACCTACCGACAAGAAAAAGGGCATTGCAGAACAAATGTGTAAAAGGTTTTTAGCAGAAAAGAGGTATTGACTATAATGAGATTTTCTCTCCTGTAGTTAAAATGAATACCATTAGACTTGTGTTGAGCATTGCGTCTGTAGAGGATTTACATCTAGAGCAGCTAGATGTTAAGACAAAATTCTTACATGGTGACCTTGATGAGAATATCTACATGATGCAACTAGAGGGTTTCCAAATAGCAGGGAAGGAGAACTTAGTCTATAAGTTGACTAAGAGTTTGTATGGGCTAAAGCAAGCATCAAGGCAGTGGTACTTGAAGTTTGACAGTTTTATGAGTAGGAAAGGGTACAAGAAGTGTGTCATGGATCAGTGTTGTTATTTGAAAATTTTTGGTCCATCCTCTATCATATTACTATTATATGTTGATGACATGTTAGTTGCATAATCTAATATGGATGAAATCAATAGATTGAAGGAAAAATTATCTGAAGAGTTTGAAATGAAGGATTTGGGTGCTGCAAAGTAGATTTTGGGCATAAACATCAGTAGGAACAGATTTGAAGGTTCCTTAATATTATCTCAAGAGAAGTATATTGGGAAATTATTAGAGAAATTCAGCATGAAGGATGCGGAGATCGTAAGTACACCTTTGGGGGTTCACTTCAATCTCTCAAAGGAGCATTCACCTAAGACGGATGAAGACAAGGCAGCAATGGCTAAAGTTCCTTATGCATCTGTAATTAGTAGCTTAATGTATGCAATGGTAGGCATTAAACCAAACATTGCTCATGTAGTGGAGTTGTTAGCAGATTCATGTCTAATCCAGGAAAGAAGCATTGGGAGGCTGTCAAGTGGTTATGCTACTTGAAATGTACTTCTAAGATTGCATTATGTTTAAGTAAGAATAATGTTATTTTGGAAGGATATTCTGATGCAGATTTGGGAGGTTGTTCAGACACAAGGAAGAGTATTACAAGATTTTTTTTCACAGTAGGTGGATCAACAATTAGTTGGATGTCTTGACTTCAGAAAAGTGTTGCAGTTTCAACCACAGAAGCAAAGTACATGACCATTTCAAAAGCTGGTAAAGAAATGAATTGGTTGAAGAATTTTCTTGAAGAGTTGGGCAAGAAGTAGTGTGACAGTGCTCTTTAAAGTGATAATCAAAGTGTCATTCATCTAGCAAAGAATCACGTGTTTCATGCAAAGACAAAGCACATCCAGTTAAGATACCATTTCATTAAAGGGCTAATCAGTTATGGTACTTTGTTCTTGAAGAAGATCTCTGGGTAAGAGAATCCTGCAGATATGTTAACCAAGGTGGTTACTATTGAGAAGTTGAAACTTTGCATAGCTTCAACTGAACTTCATGGTTAATTGTTGAGAAGGCGTCACACTAGTTTGGAGGTGTTATGGTTTTGAGGTTTACTAGATTTACTTTGGAGTGTAGTTGATGTGATCAACCTCTAAGTGGGAGATTGTTGAATATGTGGAGTCTGAAGGGTTTATTGGGCTTGGCCCATTTTGTTTCTTTTTTTTTTATAAATACTCATGTAATTGTAAACCTAATAATGAAAATAGAAAATACCATCTAGTGCAGCCGTGAACGTGGGTTATTTTGACACTACAAGAAAAACTATTATTATCTACGGAATATTACCTACGGAATTTTTTTCGTAGATAATATTTAGTTTTCTACGAAATATTACCTACGAAATTTTTTATGTAAATAATTTTTAGTTATCTACAGAATATTACCTATGGAATTTCTTTTGTAGATAATGTTTAGTTTGAAGTTTAGTGGAAAAAACACAGAAGGGGGGGTTGAATGTGTGTGAACGGAGGATTTTAACAAACGTTTCCACAAAGGTGGTTCCTTCCGTTAGAAAATAGTATTTCAAGTGTGTACGGAAAGTGCAAGATTGGTTAAAAGAGACTTTGCGTCTGAAGACCTATCGTTTGTTCGAAAATGGTTTCTTTAGTCAAATAAAAATAAATTCATCTAATTAATATTGTTTAGAAAATAAGTAGTAGTAGACGAAGTTTTTCAGTGTGATAGATCAATATAAGTAATACTAATAACAATGCATAAATTTTTTATACTGGTTCACTCGTTCCAGTCTCCTTCAACTGAAGGGTTCCACTAATCACAACAGATTACAAGTATTCTTAACCACTTTTGGTTCGTTAACTTTACTTGTTGACGCTAGTATTCTTAAACCACTTCTAGTTGCCCGAGTATTCTCAACCACTCCTGGTTCGTCAACTTCACTTGCTGACGCTAGTATTTTTAAACCACTTCTGGTTCTACAAGTATTCTTTTTGCTAGCCTTTTCAGGCTTTATAGACGATAGATGTTTTGAGTGTGTATGTGACTCTCACAGAAAGAATAAAATGGTTTCTACACTCACTATGGTATTCAACCTTAGTTTTTCAAGGATGTGTTTAGAGTGTGTATGTAACTCTCACAGAGAGGATAGGGTAATTTCTACACTCACTAAGATAAACTATTTTAGTTTTACATGGATGTTCAAATCTGAACAAGAAGAGAGGTGAGATTATTTTGACGCTTGTTTTTGCTTGTTTCTTCTCTTCTCTACTTCTTTTCTTCTCAAGTCTTGATATTTATAGCCTTGTGATAAATCTGCCCGTTATTTAAATTTGAATGTGTCCATTGAGGCAGAGCTTTCCGTTGGTGCAGATGATTGCTTCGTTTATGGCTACACAGATCTTTTTCATTTAATGCGTTTGATTTTGCATTAAATGCTTTGCTTGCTAAATCTGTGTTACGTGAAGTCCTTTGCATATTTTGTTCCCTTTTATTTCTGACTTCAATTATGACCTAGGTATGTTTGTCCTTTTTTCGTCATTGTAGTTGCGGAGGCGTTGCCTTTCTCTGAAAAGTAGGTGTACTTGCTCTGACACATGCAACTTTGACTTGAGAATTCGCGCTTTTCACTTTTTCTTCTTTCTTTTCATTTCTTTGATAACTCTGTGTGCTTTTCTTGTGAGTGGAGATGATATATGATCTTCTTTGTTGTGACTAGTGGACTCTAGACGCTTTTCACCATGCTTCGTTTGCGTCTAAAAGTTTGAATCTCTGTCTAACGGTTAGACTTTGACTTTTTCATCTCGTTTGATCAGTCTTGAGGGTGAATGACTTTTATTCCATCTGGAATATTTCTTCGTCTTGGGTTATCCAACGACTGATAATTGTTTTGTTGACCTATATGTGGTTGACCATTGAGCTTCATCTGATGTTTATTTGGTGCTGAGCCAACTTTGTCTTGGTCTTATTTTGCTCTTGTTTTTGATTTCTTATATTGTGCTCTAGATTGTTCTTGGTACATTTTTGTTTGGTATTCGTTGTCGTCTGGTGCGCAAGTCATGATCTTTCTATTATTTGGCTTGATTTGCCTGATTTTTATTTTGTTCGACCTTGCTTCATACTTTAGTTTTTCCTGTTCTTATACATATTTGAAACACTATTACACAGATTAGTAATAACAATATGTATTATATTTGTCATATTCAAAACCTCGTTGGGAATTGCTTCGTCTGACTTAACATAGTTATTTACGAAATATTAGCTACAAAATTTTTTTGTAGATAATTTTTAGTTATCTATGGAATATTACCTACGAAATTTTTTTTGTAAATAATTTTTAGTTATTTACGTTAAATTTGATATGAAAATATTATGATATAATTAGATAAGATTTTAAATTAGTATTTTATTAATGGTTGATAATTAGAAAATAAAATAAGAATAAATACATCTTTTGAATTTTATATCTTAGATTTAAGATGAATAAATATATTAATTTAATTAATAATTTATTTAAAATGTTAAAATTTAATTTATAAAAATAATATTTTAAAAGAGAAGGTAACGTTATCTACGAAAAATTTCGTAAGTAACGTTACCTACGGAAAATTCTATAGGTAACGTTACCTACGAAAAATTCTGTAGATAACGTTAAATTTGATATGAAAATATTATGATATAATTAGATAAGATTTTAAATTAGTATTTTATTAATGGTTGATAATTAGAAAATAAAACAAGAATAAATACATTTTTTAAATTTTATATCTTAGATTTAAGATGAATAAATATATTAAGTTAATTAATAATTTATTTAAAATGTTAAAATTTAATTTATAAAAATAATATTTTAAAAGAGAAGGGTTATAATAACACCGGTGTAACTTTTACTAAGTATTACACCGCTCAATAACTTTATATTAAATGTGAATTTTATAAATTCAACCGTTAGATTGAAAGTTTTTTACTCTTAGATCATATATACAAAATTTTATATGAATTCAAGATGATTTGATACTTCATTCTTGTAAAACAAAATTGACGTAATATATACATTTCAAAATATACTAAAATATGAACACTTTGATTACCTTCAAGTTGTTGTTCAATTTTAACAAAATTTGATATAAACATATAAAGTGATATGAACTTTCAATCTAACGGTTGGATTTACAAAATTCACATTTAATATAAAGTTATTGAGCGGTGTAATACTTAGTAAAAGTTACACCGATGTTATTATAGCCCTTATCATTTTAAAATATATAAATTATTATTTAAACTTTTAAATTTATAATAAATAATTTAAATTGTATCATAATATTAATTTTAAATAAAAATAAGTAGATTGTTAATTATACAAGTAAGTATATGTATATATATGAATAAAGATTAATTAAATATAATATAATTATTATTATTGGTAATATAATTATTATATATATTTTTATAATTTTATAACGGCCTAGGCATACCAAAATGAAAGGGATCCAAAAATAGTATAAGTATGAGATTCTATAGATAATTGACAGTTACCTACGGATTTTCATGCTTATCTACGGATTTCTTCCATAGATAATCCTGATTTTTCTTATAGTGTGACCGAACCACATAAATATCTGTGTTTTGTTAATTTACTTTTTCTTTTATAGTTGTGCGTATGAGTACGTTTAGGATCCCAACATGATGGTAGAATGAATCATATTGTATAAGGAGTTTTCTTTGGATGGTTCTACATAAAGACCTTAACATAAATAGTAGGAGATATAGTTGTGGATTATCAAAGGATAATCTCTGTCCTTTATATGATTCTTATGTTGAAACGAATGTCATTTTCTTCAGGATTATCTTGATGTGTTCCATTTAGGAGGCCTTGCTTTTGACTCATCGCTCCACTTTTGGTGGGTTTTATAGTTATAATCTATCAAATTGGATTATTAAGAATATTAGCTATAAATCCCTCCTATCTTGGAGCTTTCTTTTTGGGATAATGCTTTGGGTCATTTGGAATGCTAGGAACAATGTTTGTCATGTTTTTTTTTTGAGGAATTTGGAGAGTTTAAGATGTAGTGGCTAAATCTAAATTCACAAACCTAAAGGTTGGATCTGTTGTGGAGATTGATTGCCACAGAATCCAAGGGGTGGAGATACGAGGGATGTCTTGGTCGTTCCCACCTCCTGGTTGGACCAAGTCCAATGTTGATGGATTAGTGCAAGCTAGGGGCACTTAAGCAAGTTGTGGGGTGTTCATAAAAGATGACAAAGAGAGATGAACCTCTAGTTTTTGTGGGAAGTCGGGTTCTTGTACCATTATGGTTGCAGATATTTGGGGTATAGTTACAATATTGGAGCAGGCTTGGAGTTTGGGTTGTAGACACATATTGATTGAATCTGCCTCTTTAGAAGCACTTTCATTATTTAACAGAGGAGTTCTTATGGATGAGCCCTATTTTAGATTGATCCATTATGGTCATTTGTATTTGCAGAAATCTTAGAATGTTAATATTACTTATGTGGTCCATGAAGCAAACTCAATAATAGATTGTCTGGAAGCTTTAGCTCGTAATGGAGACATTAGTATTATTGATTTTAACAATCCATCCTTGAAGTGTGGGATTTGCTTTGCCAAGATTTTAGGGGTTATTCCTATATCTACATCTCTCCTTTATAATTCACCTTTGATAGCAAAAACAAAGAGAGGGTATTATTGTAGGTTATTATCGAACTTTTATTATATGTGTAACATTATTTTAAAAAATAAATATATATATATATATATAATATTTTTTATTTTAAAATAAAGAGATGAAAATCGTAGAAAAGAAGTGTCGAGATACCATTAACAAAGAGAGGGTATTATTGTAGGTTATTGCAGATTCTTTGAGTGTCTTGGAATACCAAAAATATTTGGAAGATATCAACATCATGAAAAAGGTAATCAAATTCATGAATCACGATTATACCAAGGATAAAAAATTCATGATTATATAATTAAATTATTAGGAGTATTTATTAACGTACCCTACCAATGCATAGATAATCATTAATATATTTTAATAATGACATGTCCTTGGAGGAAGTAAAACGTAAATGCACATGTGCTAGATCTTGTTTTATTTATTTATTTACTTTTGCCAACACGTTTATCTTACACGTTATTTTTAATTATTATCAGTAACTTTACTTTTCTCTTATGAGCTTTTATAGGTATCATTAAAAAAAAAAAAACTTTTACATGTTACTAGCACTATTTTAAACTTTTAGTACGTGCAATGCCCGATATGATTATTTATTTTATATAATTTTTTTTATAAATAAATACTTTTATCATATAGTATATTATAATTAAAATTCTTGATAATGAATATTTTTAATTATCTAAATTATATTTTAAATTTATGATATTAACAATCTTTTTAAGAAATAAAATGAATATGAAAATACATATTCAAATAATTAGAAAATTAAAAATATACAAATAATATTTTCAAAAGGATAAAAAAAAAGTTAATAAATATAAAAATGATGCACGTGGATAAAATTTGATTTTTGGAAATAAGATCTATATTTTATTTTGATATTCAATTATAAATAATAGATCGTTCATTAATAAATTATTAGTTTAAAAAGTATTAAACTCAATCTTCTCAAATAAATTATTAAATTTGAATCATAAATAAAAAACAGTTAAAAATGAAGATATTTATGCATGAAAATAAAATAACTCAATCGCACAAATCTTATAATATTTATGCAATACTTGTTATTTTTATCACTCTTCATCAAATCAACTATTTTATCATACACTTCTTTTAATTCTTAATTTTGCTTTGTCGTATATTTTGTTTACAAAGAAATTATACCAATACGAATTCTTAAGTTTGAGAATGCTTTTCTTGTAAAATAAAAAAAACAAAAAATTTAGATATATTTTTAATCTCTCAAAAATAAAATAAATTAATTTTAATATCTTAAATTTAAATACTTTTTTTTGTTCTCTTTAATTTTTTAAAAAATAATTTCAGTTCTTTTGATCAAACACGACTAATAAATTTATCACAGTACTCAACTATCACTAAATCTATTACACAAAACTCATAGATAATATCATTATTAGGAAAAACATCACAACAGATCTAATTGTCATAGAATTGACTAAATTTACCTGTCAATAATAATATGTGGTCCTGAGGACTAAAGTAAACATTTTCAAAATCACAAGAGACTAAAATAAATAAGAGTTAATCACCTATACATCGTTAGTATAAAAAATTTTTATACTGGTAATCAATTATATTTCTTAATTGTGTTATGTCACTGTAAACACATTTACTTTTAACAGTGACATGGCATAATTAAAAGATATAATTGGTTGCTAGTGTAAAAAAACTTTACACTAATAGTGTATAGGTGATTAACTCAATAAATAATAACCTTAAATTTAGGAAATTTAGACAAATTGTGTTCAAATTTAAAAGATTAAATAATTAAAAACACATTTAAGTTTGATAGAGAGAGCAATATTGTTACCGGCATTGTAATGAAATAAAACTTTTACGATTATTTAAAGGGTGTACTGAGTTGAAACTAGTTTTGTTTTAATTAGAGCTGTCAAAATGGACTCAACCCGGTGAGCCAATCCGGTCCACCACGGGTTTGAGTCGGGTTGGGCGAAAAAAAAATTAAAAATTTTAATACGAGCCAATTTTGAACCCGGTTCACTAACAACCCGGCTCACCCGGGTTGAACCTGTGGTGAGCCAGGCAGACCCACCAAACTGTTAAGAAAAAAAACTTATATTTCAACTTTTAGTTTATTGGGCCCAATTGCCCAAATGAGCATTAGGGTTTGAATTATATTTGAATTATTAGGCCTAAAAAAGAGTATTTGAGATGATTTTGAATTAATTTGTTTACATGAGATTATTTAGATTTTATTTGATTGTATTTAGAATTATTATTTAATTATGATTTTGGGTTTTAGTTGTATAGTAAAAGAAATTATATATTTTTTTAAATTATGTAAACCAACCCGTTTAACCCACCAACCCGTGGTGGGCCGGATCGGGTTCAATTTTTTGAGCTCACTAATAAATGAGCCGGGTTGGGTTGGCCCACCAAATGCTCAACCCGTGGTGGGCCGGGTCGGGCCGGGCTGAGTTACCCGTTTTGACAGCTCTAGTTTTAATAGACTTTGAGGTTTTAATGTTGTTGCAGAAACAGTGGGGTAATTGGAATAATAACTGGTCCTTGCATCCGATAACGTTTGTACTGGCTAACCGAGTTGCCGACTTGTCCCTCACCAATCTGCTGACTCGGTCAAAGGTTTACCAGCCTAACCAACCAGTAAGCTCATTATTGCCAAGCTCCTCAGCCCGACCATGAAATCCGACCATGAAACATGGACATCGAAACACCACATCGACCCAAAAAGGCCACGTCATCAAACAAATGAAAATACAATCTTGTCACCGCGCCGCCCACGCATTATGGGAACGAGGTGATGGTTATGACACATGGCGTCATGTCAAATAGGCGTACGCAAAAAGTCACGACCCCTGGTCGAGCTTGGTCTTAACTCCTCGACCTACGGTCTTCGGAGCTCGGGGGGCAAGTGTACTATCCGTACCGCCATGCTGAGCTCGAGCTCGGCATCACAACGCGGAGTGACCTCGAACACGCGCTAGACGACATCGGCTCGCTATCCAATTAGGTCATAAACTGATCTCGGGCCCAAGCGTAACAAAACCCTAATACACACAAAGGTACGTGCATTACTTATACGAGACTCATACACCCACAAACACTAACTTTGGCATCGGAGTCTCTTTTGCAGGTACCACCTCCATCTTGGAGCATCAAGCGTACCAGCGAAGGAGGCTCACCAATCTTACTCGGAGAATCATCTCTACGACAAATTCCCGGTAAGAACAAAATATATTCTATTTTTAATCCAATGAATAAATAACAATGAATCAAAACTATTTTAAAATATATTTTAATTAAAATTAATTTTTATAAATAATTAAATTTAAAGTATAAAAACCCTGCACAATCAACATCAATGTATATCTCCATGGACAATGGACCTTCTCTTTTCAATAATAATTTCTTCTCTGGACTTGTCTTTAGATATCGAAGAATGCTCTCAACTGCATGAAGGTGTCTCTCACGAGATCATGCATAAATTGGCCAACAACACTAACTGCATAGGAAATATTAGGCCTATTGTGTGATAGATAATCAGCTTCCCTAACAATCTCTAGTATTGGGACTTCTCTAAAGGTGGACTTTCTTCACTTCCAATCTTGTAATTTTGCTTAATGGGCTCCCTGTAGTCTTGCACTCCAGTTTTCCTTTTTGAGAAATAAAGATCCCTTTTCTAGAGTGTGCAACCTCCATTGCAAGGAAATACTTAAGTTTTCCCAACTAATAAAGACACATTTGATAGTTCTTGGGTCTAACATGCCACAATGAGAATTGTGAGAATGAACTGCAACACAACCAAACATGACATGGGAGACTTACTAGTTGGGGAGAATAAGAGAAAAAAGACAACATGTGTTCAACTGGACTAATACCCTGTAAGACACAAGTGGGTAACCTGTCAATGAGATAAGTGACAATTAAGACAACTTCTCCCCAATAGACATTAGAGACAAACATGTGAAAAAGTAGATCTCTGGCAACCTTAAGTAGGTGATGATTCTTTCTTTCTGCAACCCCATTTTGTTGGGGAGTATTAACACATGTTAATTCATGGATAATACCTTGCTCTATAAAAAACTTAGAAAATTCAAGATTAACATATTTAGTTCCATTGTTTGACCGAATTCTTTTGATAGACTTACCAAACTGATTTTTGGCAAGAAGACCATATACTATGTATTTCGTACATTCTCTAATATCCCTATTTATAGAGTAAATAACTTTGCTTAGATAAGGAAATAACTAATAGAGAAATAAGGATATTCTAGATCTTCTAAGTATCTATGATATTTACAACAAAGGACAAAAAGGGTTGACTGATTTGCATGTTTGTACATTTGCAGGGATTGACAACAATGAAACTATAAAGATTTATAGAAGTGGGGGTGCAGATCCTGATGGAGATAACCCTGGTGATCTTTATGTTACTATGAAGGTAACATAAAGATAACTTCATAACATAAAGCTTCAATCTATTCATAGCTTGGTGATCATTTCCTATTTTCTTCTCATAAGTCCAGTCATTTTTTATTTGCTTCCTTTGTACAGGTCAGGGAAGATCCTGTCTTCCGTAGAGAAGGATCTGATATTCATGTAGATGCTGTCTTAAGTATCACTCAGGTAATATTCCTTGATGAAAATGTTTTAACTTTTAAGCCTATGTCTGGTTGAGTCTTTTCAGGTTTCGATTTACATATGCCTGCATTTTATTCATACTTAAATAGTTTTAGTTTATAATTTTCTGGGGAAGCAAATTGCTAGCGTCGCCTAGGTAGAAAAAATGTTGTGATGAAGTTGGGCGTATATTTGTTGTTGACCAATGTAATTATTTGAATGCTTGAAAGTTCAAGTTGGTCTTGGATACAAATAATTCATGCCTTAAAACATTATTAAATTGATTTTTTTGAAGTCTCAATATTAAAAATTGTTATGCTCTAAATTAACAAAGTTGGTTTTATATATTTCAAGGTTAGCTTCTTACTTTATTTTTACACATGTTCTCATTTTAATTTGCTAGACATAATGAAATTTTAAGGAAAATATATTTAACCAAACATAAAATATAGCATTGCTCTTTAATATTTAGATTTAAATTATGTTGAAATGTGCAATTTTGTTGTATATAATTAAAAACAGTTTATTTTGTAAGGGGTGTTTACAATTCTTAGTATATATTGTGATTTGAGGTACCAAATAGCAAATATATGAATTAAATGAAGTCATGATGCTAGCATTCAAATGACTTTCCATGCTAACTCATTCACCCTTTTCCCTCTTTCAATTCCACAAAATATCATTTGGCAAACTAAATGTGCTCACGTTGATAAGGATCTCAGGTTTTAAATCTAGAGATGAAAACTATTAAAATCAATGATAATTTACTCTTTTGGTCTCTCTTTTTATTTAATTGATTTAGATTGATCCCTTTATTATTAAAAGGTTCAATTTGGTCCCTTAAATTTTAAAAATGATGGAATGTTACTTTTTCTGTCTAATTTAGGCTAACAATGTTACTTCCTTGTACATGTGGCAACAAGTGTCAATTTTTTTATTATGCCACTTGTACAAGAAAGTAACCCCATTTGTCTAAATTGGCCTGATATGACAACATTACATAATTTTAAAATTAAGAATCCAAATTGAACATTTTAATAGTAAAGGGACCAAATTGAACCTATTAGGGGATGTTTAGTACATGACAATTTTTTTAAACCTGGAAATTATGATTCATGAAAATCATAAATTCTAGGATTGTGCAAAAAATTCAAACCAATCCATATTAAATAAATCCGATCCATTTTTTAGAAAAAAGCCCAAACTGATCTACTTTGCAAAAACGGTTTGTTTACTCAATCCATTTTTACAAAGTGGATAGGTTCGGTCTAGTTTTGTTCTTCTAAAACATCGACCATAATATGAGTATAAAGTGGATAATTGCACCAAATTGATCCAATTTTTAAAAAACCGATTTATAGTTTTAAAAAACCAAATGGATTTACTTTATAAAAAACGGATTGATTAATCAATCCACTTTTATAAAATGGGTCGAATCGATTTGGTTTGGATTTTTCAAAAATCCGATCCATGAAAACTCCTAATAAATCTTGGGAATCATGATTTCTAGGAATGATGAAAATCTGTTTGGTTGGTCATAAATATTTCTGAGAATGTTTATAAATATTATTTGGGAACCAAATATTTTTACTACATTAAATAAAGGTAACATGATGCTTTTACTACATTAAAACTTTAATTTTATCTTGGGAAAGTTAGTTTTCCACCTTCTCATGAAAATAGTTTCGTGAGAAACCTATGCAAAAATATTCCTTGGAAAAATGTTTCCTAGGAATGTTATTTTTTAAATAACAAACCAAATGCAAGAAACTAACATTCCAATGTCAGATTCCCAGGAAAGTAAAAACTTTGTGTACCAAATGCCCCCGTTAAAGAAAGAGACCAAACAAGTAATTTTGCCTAAATTCAAGTATCTGCCAATTTTAAATCTTCATGGATTAAATAAAAAATGGGTTTGGGAGCATGCTAGTTTGAAATTTCCTGATTCACTTGAAGGCTTTGGACATTTAATTGGATTTATGGTTGGGGACCTAGTAATCATCATGACTGATTCTGGTATATTTGTGGTTTTCTTTCTAGATTGGCAGTTGTGGTTTTGGTTTGTGCTACAAGTTTTAATTTTTCTACATGTTTAGGATCTCAAACATCTTTAGTTGTGTGCTGCATTGTGGGGGTACTAAATATTCCTTGGAAATAGTTTAAATACTGAACTTTTTTTCAGGCTATTTTGGGCGGAACCATTCAGGTCCCAACTCTTACTGGAGATGTTGTTCTTAAGGTTTGTATAGCTATTGCAATTGCAATATAACTTCTCATGGCATTTTGGTTTTAGTATCCTATGAAGTATGCTGATGGGGCCTGTTTGGCAGGTTCGACCTGGCACCCAACCTGGTCAGAAGGTGGTTCTGAAAAAGAAAGGTAAGCTAGTTCATATTTGATATCAATTATGGATAATTTGAGAGTATTTTCCAGACAGCATTGTGAAAATATATTTGAATTTCCATGAACCTTTTGGATGGATTTTTGAAAGTGTTCAGTTTAAGGTAATATTTTCTCCTTTATTAACTTGATTGTTTTCTTAACAGGGATCAAGACAAAAAATTCTTACACATTTGGAGATCAATATGTTCATTTTAACGTTAGCATTCCAAAGTGAGTGTTGCATTTGATATTGTTGATTGTTGTTTATGAACTATGAAAGTGCATGATTGGATTTCCATTTGCAAAGAGCTCCAAACCTGGGTTTTTAGTAAAAGCTTGGCCTCATGTAACTTTTGTCCAAAACATGGTATGGAGGCTTCAAATGGGAATTAACCTCACTTGCTCACCTGACAAATAAAGATAGTGTGAGATCTGTTGTAAAAAAAAATGATAGTGTGGCTCTGTTATCATTGAAGTTTGGAGAAAGATACTTCCTTGATGAATGTTTAGAATATAAGTGGCCTCTTCTTTGTGTTATGTTCTGCAGCAACCTGACAGAGAGACAGCGGGAATTGATTGAAGAGTTTACAAAGGAAGAGCAAGATGATTTTGATGATAAACAGAGAGCTGCATCTGCTTCTGGTTGAAACATTGCAAGAGTTACCAATTCACGCTCAACTAGGCGGGTGTTGAAGTTTTGTAGGATTAAGGATTTGTAATTTTTTTTCTCTCTTCCACTTTTTGGAGTGTACTAATATTTCTCATCTTAAGTTATGATCATAATTCAAAATTTTAATGTTAGAAGGCATTCCCTCTATAGGCTAGTATTCTAATAGGTGCTGTGTATATATTAACATAAGGGTGCAAGTCACTAAATGTGATTCTTTTTCCTACTATCACATGTAAAGGAACCTTTATCGTTGGGCCATGGTAAACTAGAACATAATTTATGCGTTGTATCATCTTAAACATTAAGCAATATATAGTCATTTTTTGTCTCTGGATCAGTGTTATTCTCTTATCTTGCTAGTGATGATTAAAAAATGTGATTTCAGTTTTAAGGGGTCCAGAGGCAATTTATGCCATGTTATCGAATTTAATAATAGAATTGTTTTTCTTCCTTTCAATATGTACCTTTCTGTATAGGTTAGTGAATTTATTATTTTTATGATAATATTCTTGGACTAAATTACTTTGGTTTGGTGATTATTTTTAGTGAAATATAATGGCTTATATATTTAAAAGGGAAAAAAAATCAAATCTGACAATAAACCACAAAAAAGCTGTTTGGTCGAAGTTTTAATTCTGTTGTTTGTATTTCAAAGTATGCTGATAATCCAGAAGGTTTAAGACCTGCTTTATTTTTACCATATCTATTACTTATTGTTATTCACTCTTTATTCTTTTTCATCTATCAAACACAATTTAAGTAAATAGAATATAATCGAAGGATATAACTTTAGTCATTTTTAATAGCTAAAAGTATATTTAAATGTCTTTTTGGATCTGTTAAAAAAAACGATGTTGAACAACCTAAATATAATTATATTGCATTTTATTTAATAAAATGTGACAGGAGAACATAAATAGAAAGATAGACAGAATAAAAACATAATTTTTTGTTATTCAATAAATTATGTGATTTTTTTTTTCATGTATAAAGTATTTGAAAGACAAAACATTGTTTATTTTAGCAAGTATTTGGTTATTTTAACCTTTTCCAAAATTTTTTTTTCTTCTAACCATTCAAAGCATGCGCAAAAACTTGCGACAATAAATATGGAAATTTAGAATGGTGGTGCTTAACAGATTAAACTAATATAATCTAACACTTATATAAGACAACATTTAAATAAAAAAAAAATATAGATAATATAATATTAATAAAATAACTAAACTATAAATTGGTTAAATCGTATAAGTTAATATATAATTTTACCATCTCTTTTCTGCCAAATAATTTTGACCATATTTTATTTCTTCAACAATTAACTATTGTAACCCAGAAGGATCAGATGCTACAACATGGATTAAAACCTATTCCTACCTACATGACAATCCCATCTCTTATAACATTATTATAGGAAGTACTACATAAATTACTCCTATATAAAAACCCTTCAAGAAAATTATCATTCCACAGGTCCAACTTCACCTTATCACATGGTTTCACCTGCATAAAGAGATAAAGAAAATTAATTTTCTTTCACTTGCTAAACACAATTAATTACCAAAGGAGAAGGCGAAGCCACTTTATACATTCTTCCTCTTTTCCTTAATCAACATTGCTGTATAATATTAATTTTAATAAATAATAAAGTTACCAATGTATTATTTAATTAACTTGATTAATACAATTAAATAAAATTCATATGAGAGTCCTTAAATCATAGAAAGTCCCATTCTTATTTAATAGCAAAAGTGTATTGTGCACCCCAAAAAAATAACAGTTTTATTAATTAGTAATAAGTCCGTTAATTTGTTATAGCTTTCTTCTTTTAAATAAATTAATTTTTTAAATAATTACTCTTAAAAGGTTTTTCTTTAAAAAAAAAAAAGACAAATTAAGATCTAACAAAAGTTACACTCATGTATCAACCAAAGCAATAGAGCTTAATTCTGGAGTACAAATCTCTTATGTCACAAAAAAAAAATGAACAAAAAAAACTTTGTTTAGCTAATCAATTTGCGCATTATTTTAATTTTTTAAAATAATAAAAGTTAAAAAATCTAAAATTTGGTTAAAGTTATAAGATATTTTTTTTCTCATAAAAATTACCTTTTAAAAATGATTTTTATGATTGTATACAAGAAAAACGATAGTAATATTAAAAAATGATTTTTTTAAAAAAGAATTAATCACTAATTTTTTATTTTTTTTACATCAGAATTAGTCTAAGTTATTTCAAGTAAAACTAATAAATAGATGAAAAAGAAATAATGACTTTATAAATATAACCTTATAATTAATATTCATTCTTAGAAACGATCCAACACAACAATCACTTTTTACATAATACTATTAAGGGTATAAATTAAATGAAAAAGAAACAATCAATAATACATTAAAAAGTTAATATAACACTTATTTTAAAATAATTTTTTTATTCTAATATGACACTTATTATGAGTTGAAGGGAGTAATATTTTTGTCTAAATGATAATAATGAAAAAAACTCAATGATATTTTAGAATGAATTTTATGTGTGAATCAAAGAAGTCGTGAATGTGATTCACACAACAAAAGACTATTATATATGATTTGTTTGGATAAATTTTTCCAGAAATATTATTAGAAAAAATGAAATATTTTTTTTAAAATTAAAACTATATATATTCTCCGTATGCTAAAAGTAAATCTTTAGAAAAATAATACAATAAAACTTCTACAAATTAACTTATACAAAAATTAATTTTAATTTATGAAAAACTTATTTTATTTTTTTCTTCTATTTTTTCTCATACAAGTATACTTTTAAAGTAGTTTATCTATACACATTCAATCTTAACGTTTACAAGAATCTCCAAAAAAATTGTCCCTGTATTTCACGGATAATACTTCTTGCCAATGAAAAAATAAAAAACATTCACAAAAACCATTGAAATTCAAATATATGTATATATACATATAATAAGGAGATAGAGAGGGAGAGAGAGAGAGAGAGATGACATGGTTCAAAGTTTGCTGTGCACTTGTCTGGGAGCAATGAGGCCATGCTACGGTCTACCCCAGAGATTGGAGGACCATTGACAAGGACACAAAGACATGGTTGTCCTAGTGCCTTTAGGGCATTGCAACAAGCATCACTTGGTGGAATAGGGCTAAAAGGAGCCACTGCTGCCCTACAAGGAATGAGTTGCACAAGTGAAGAGAAGAATGTGCTTGTGCATGGACTGCTTTGCACTTGTGCCACTAATCCTGTTCCCATCATCAACATAAACCACAAACTACAAAACTTCATCTTTGAATAATTCTTTAACATTTCCACTTCCTAATTAATTATAAGGTGAAACTTCTTCTTTTGAGTGTGTGTGTGTTGCCAATGTCACTAGGGTTTTGGGTTTATTTATACATATATGATACATGCATGCTCATGTCATGCATGATACCTGTTCTAACTAAGGGTTGTGCTAACAATGCATGCTTACTGTGTTCTCAGTCTCAAGAGAGATCATCATCAATGTGCTGATCATGAATCACTACAGTTGGAAGATTCGAATGACGTGATTTTCTCCCATGAAAATTTGTAAAATTGCTTCTGCATATTTCATGACATTACTGAGATAAATATAATAACATGCCTATTAATTCTATATTTTAATTTAAAAATGCTAAAAATTCAAATGGGTAAATATTAAAATGATCTGGTAAAAAAAACTTAGTCCTATTAAAAATATTAATTAATAAGATATTTTAAGTAATTGATGTTATAAATAATTAAAAAATGTTGTAGAGAACAAAAGTTCAGGGTTAAAAACTGTACTATCAAATAAAAAAAATTAAATATGCATGTACGTTTTTCTTTTGAAAAAATGGATTATGAATGGTTACACTATAATCTAATCATAAATCATTTTATTTAAATTGTACAATAATTACTAATATTAATATATGCGATAATATAAAATTATTTTACATCGACTTTTTCAATGATAACAGAGCCACACTATCATTTTTTTTTACAACAGATCTCACACTATCTTTATTTGTCAGGTGAGCAAGTGAGGTTAATTCCCATTTGAAGCCTCCATACCATGTTTTGGACAAAAGTTACATGAGGCCAAGCTTTTACTAAAAACCCAGGTTTGGAGCTCTTTGCAAATGGAAATCCAATCATGCACTTTCATAGTTCATAAACAACAATCAACAATATCAAATGCAACACTCACTTTGGAATGCTAACGTTAAAATGAACATATTGATCTCCAAATGTGTAAGAATTTTTTGTCTTGATCCCTGTTAAGAAAACAATCAAGTTAATAAAGGAGAAAATATTACCTTAAACTGAACACTTTCAAAAATCCATCCAAAAGGTTCATGGAAATTCAAATATATTTTCACAATGCTGTCTGGAAAATACTCTCAAATTATCCATAATTGATATCAAATATGAACTAGCTTACCTTTCTTTTTCAGAACCACCTTCTGACCAGGTTGGGTGCCAGGTCGAACCTGCCAAACAGGCCCCATCAGCATACTTCATAGGATACTAAAACCAAAATGCCATGAGAAGTTATATTGCAATTGCAATAGCTATACAAACCTTAAGAACAACATCTCCAGTAAGAGTTGGGACCTGAATGGTTCCGCCCAAAATAGCCTGAAAAAAAGTTCAGTATTTAAACTATTTCCAAGGAATATTTAGTACCCCCACAATGCAGCACACAACTAAAGATGTTTGAGATCCTAAACATGTAGAAAAATTAAAACTTGTAGCACAAACCAAAACCACAACTGCCAATCTAGAAAGAAAACCACAAATATACCAGAATCAGTCATGATGATTACTAGGTCCCCAACCATAAATCCAATTAAATGTCCAAAGCCTTCAAGTGAATCAGGAAATTTCAAACTAGCATGCTCCCAAACCCATTTTTTATTTAATCCATGAAGATTTAAAATTGGCAGATACTTGAATTTAGGCAAAATTACTTGTTTGGTCTCTTTCTTTAACGGGGGCATTTGGTACACAAAGTTTTTACTTTCCTGGGAATCTGACATTGGAATGTTAGTTTCTTGCATTTGGTTTGTTATTTAAAAAATAACATTCCTAGGAAACATTTTTCCAAGGAATATTTTTGCATAGGTTTCTCACGAAACTATTTTCATGAGAAGGTGGAAAACTAACTTTCCCAAGATAAAATTAAAGTTTTAATGTAGTAAAAGCATCATGTTACCTTTATTTAATGTAGTAAAAATATTTGGTTCCCAAATAATATTTATAAACATTCTCAGAAATATTTATGACCAACCAAACAGATTTTCATCATTCCTAGAAATCATGATTCCCAAGATTTATTAGGAGTTTTCATGGATCGGATTTTTGAAAAATCCAAACCAAATCGATTCGACCCATTTTATAAAAGTGGATTGATTAATCAATCCGTTTTTTATAAAGTAAATCCATTTGGTTTTTTAAAACTATAAATCGGTTTTTTAAAAATTGGATCAATTTGGTGCAATTATCCACTTTATACTCATATTATGGTCGATGTTTTAGAAGAACAAAACTAGACCGAACCTATCCACTTTGTAAAAATGGATTGAGTAAACAAACCGTTTTTGCAAAGTAGATCAGTTTGGGCTTTTTTCTAAAAAATGGATCGGATTTATTTAATATGGATTGGTTTGAATTTTTTGCACAATCCTAGAATTTATGATTTTCATGAATCATAATTTCCAGGTTTAAAAAAATTGTCATGTACTAAACATCCCCTAATAGGTTCAATTTGGTCCCTTTACTATTAAAATGTTCAATTTGGATTCTTAATTTTAAAATTATGTAATGTTGTCATATCAGGCCAATTTAGACAAATGGGGTTACTTTCTTGTACAAGTGGCATAATAAAAAAATTGACACTTGTTGCCACATGTACAAGGAAGTAACATTGTTAGCCTAAATTAGACAGAAAAAGTAACATTCCATCATTTTTAAAATTTAAGGGACCAAATTGAACCTTTTAATAATAAAGGGATCAATCTAAATCAATTAAATAAAAAGAGAGACCAAAAGAGTAAATTATCATTGATTTTAATAGTTTTCATCTCTAGATTTAAAACCTGAGATCCTTATCAACGTGAGCACATTTAGTTTGCCAAATGATATTTTGTGGAATTGAAAGAGGGAAAAGGGTGAATGAGTTAGCATGGAAAGTCATTTGAATGCTAGCATCATGACTTCATTTAATTCATATATTTGCTATTTGGTACCTCAAATCACAATATATACTAAGAATTGTAAACACCCCTTACAAAATAAACTGTTTTTAATTATATACAACAAAATTGCACATTTCAACATAATTTAAATCTAAATATTAAAGAGCAATGCTATATTTTATGTTTGGTTAAATATATTTTCCTTAAAATTTCATTATGTCTAGCAAATTAAAATGAGAACATGTGTAAAAATAAAGTAAGAAGCTAACCTTGAAATATATAAAACCAACTTTGTTAATTTAGAGCATAACAATTTTTAATATTGAGACTTCAAAAAAATCAATTTAATAATGTTTTAAGGCATGAATTATTTGTATCCAAGACCAACTTGAACTTTCAAGCATTCAAATAATTACATTGGTCAACAACAAATATACGCCCAACTTCATCACAACATTTTTTCTACCTAGGCGACGCTAGCAATTTGCTTCCCCAGAAAATTATAAACTAAAACTATTTAAGTATGAATAAAATGCAGGCATATGTAAATCGAAACCTGAAAAGACTCAACCAGACATAGGCTTAAAAGTTAAAACATTTTCATCAAGGAATATTACCTGAGTGATACTTAAGACAGCATCTACATGAATATCAGATCCTTCTCTACGGAAGACAGGATCTTCCCTGACCTGTACAAAGGAAGCAAATAAAAAATGACTGGACTTATGAGAAGAAAATAGGAAATGATCACCAAGCTATGAATAGATTGAAGCTTTATGTTATGAAGTTATCTTTATGTTACCTTCATAGTAACATAAAGATCACCAGGGTTATCTCCATCAGGATCTGCACCCCCACTTCTATAAATCTTTATAGTTTCATTGTTGTCAATCCCTGCAAATGTACAAACATGCAAATCAGTCAACCCTTTTTGTCCTTTGTTGTAAATATCATAGATACTTAGAAGATCTAGAATATCCTTATTTCTCTATTAGTTATTTCCTTATCTAAGCAAAGTTATTTACTCTATAAATAGGGATATTAGAGAATGTACGAAATACATAGTATATGGTCTTCTTGCCAAAAATCAGTTTGGTAAGTCTATCAAAAGAATTCGGTCAAACAATGGAACTAAATATGTTAATCTTGAATTTTCTAAGTTTTTTATAGAGCAAGGTATTATCCATGAATTAACATGTGTTAATACTCCCCAACAAAATGGGGTTGCAGAAAGAAAGAATCATCACCTACTTAAGGTTGCCAGAGATCTACTTTTTCACATGTTTGTCTCTAATGTCTATTGGGGAGAAGTTGTCTTAATTGTCACTTATCTCATTGACAGGTTACCCACTTGTGTCTTACAGGGTATTAGTCCAGTTGAACACATGTTGTCTTTTTTCTCTTATTCTCCCCAACTAGTAAGTCTCCCATGTCATGTTTGGTTGTGTTGCAGTTCATTCTCACAATTCTCATTGTGGCATGTTAGACCCAAGAACTATCAAATGTGTCTTTATTAGTTGGGAAAACTTAAGTATTTCCTTGCAATGGAGGTTGCACACTCTAGAAAAGGGATCTTTATTTCTCAAAAAGGAAAACTGGAGTGCAAGACTACAGGGAGCCCATTAAGCAAAATTACAAGATTGGAAGTGAAGAAAGTCCACCTTTAGAGAAGTCCCAATACTAGAGATTGTTAGGGAAGCTGATTATCTATCACACAATAGGCCTAATATTTCCTATGCAGTTAGTGTTGTTGGCCAATTTATGCATGATCTCGTGAGAGACACCTTCATGCAGTTGAGAGCATTCTTCGATATCTAAAGACAAGTCCAGAGAAGAAATTATTATTGAAAAGAGAAGGTCCATTGTCCATGGAGATATACATTGATGTTGATTGTGCAGGGTTTGTCACAAATAGAAGATCCACTTCAAGTTATTGCATGTTTCTTGGTGGGAATCTAGTAACATGGAGAAGCAAGAAGCAAAATGTAGTTGCTAGGTCTAGTGCAAAAGCTGAGTTTCAAGCTATGGCACATGTCATATGTGAAGGATCATGGAGAAAATTATTCTTGATGAACTTAAACTTATATATGGGGTCCAATGAAGTTGTTTCATGATAACAATTCAACTTTCAGCATTGCTCATAACCTAGTTCAATTCAGCATGACAAAACTAAACACAGAGATTGATAAACACTTCATCAAAGAGGTTGGATGGTGACCTTATAGTTACAACTCATATGCCTACAAGAGTTCAAGTAGCAAATGTCTTCGCAAAGGGGCTTCCTAGTGCTAGATTCCAAGATCTTATTGACAAGTAAGGAATGATTGATATTCATTTACCAACTTGAGGGAGAGTGTTATAAATATCATAGATACTTAGAAGATCTACAATATCTCCAAATATCTTTAGATATTTGTTTCCCTATTTCTTTATTATTGTTATTTCTATATTTAAGCATAGTATGCTGCTAAGCTTCGCGCTGAGCGCGGTTCTTCGCGCTGAGCGCGGTTCTTTGCGCTGAGCGCGGTTCTTCGCGCTGAGTGCGTGGCCACCAGGGGACCCCATTTGGCCAAGCTCGCTGAGCGCAATGATGAATGCGCAGGGCGCGCTTGGGGATGTGGGTCTCTGGCTGGCCCGTGCTGGGCGTGACCTGGACCGCATTGGGCGCGATACTAGTTGTGGCAAATTTTGGGTTTTCTATTGGGCGCTGAGCGCGCCCCTTGTTGCGATGGGCACACCTGCGCTGGGCGTGCTGGTCCCCTGGTGCTCTCTGGTTGCGTGCACTGGGCGCAGCCACGTGCGCGCCGGGCGCGGAGATGGGATGGTTATGTATGAAGTTTTATGCTGAGTTGAATTGAAATAGAAGGTTATGAAATGATGTCTAGCAGATAATGTTATTATTGATATTGAATTGTATCTGATGAACGTGTTGAGAAGTGGTGTTATGTTGTAGCTGATTTGTTGAACTGTGAAGTTGATATGTTGAGTTGTACGTTTGTGTTGTGTTGTGAGTTAATATGTTGAGATGTATAAGTTATGTTGTGTTGGAATATTGATGTGAGTTGTTGTAGGCTGCAAGGCTGAGTTGTTGTAGGCCGTAAGGCTGAGTTGATGTAGGCCGAAAGGCTGAGTTGTTGTAGGAGATCTCCGAGTTGATATGCGTGACGACGCATTGTATGCTTATTGATGATCACGTTGAAAATCGAGGGAATGTATGTTGATGAAGCATAAATAGTCGTGGTTGTTTATATTTTCTTAAAAATCTTGCTATATGTTGTTTTCTTTATGCTAGCTTACCCTTTGTGTTTCCATGTGATTGGACTGCTATGATCGTACTGTGTACGGGAGCAGAGCAGGGATAGGTGATGGATAGTGATGAGTCGGCAGCCGATAGATGGAGCTGATTTCTGCGGATGTTCTATTTGTTTTGGTCACTTGGCATAGTGACTTTTGATGTAATCCCTATATCACATGCCCTAACTCTAGTCAGATTCGGGACATATGTATATACTTATATTCTAGACTCTATATTTATATACTTGTTCTATTCTGTCTAGTTTTTCCGGTGCATTTTGGTGGTGAGTGAATGGCCAGTCGGGTCGTTACATCGGACACGCGCTAGGCGACATCGACTCGCTATCCAATTAGGTCATAAACTGATCTCGGGCCCAAGGCCCAACAAACTCCTAATACACACAAAGGTACGTGCATTACTTATACGAGACTCATATTCACACAAACCCTAACTTTAGCATCGGAGTCTCTTTTGCAGGTACCACTCCCATCTTGGAGAATCAACGTACCCGTGAAGGAAGCTCACCGATTTTACCCAGCGGATCATCCCTACCTCGGATTACCGGTAAGAACAACGTCTAAAATCTTTTCATCCATGAAGTATATAATTGAACAACCAATACTAATCGATAAGATTAAAAAATAACAAACACAAACATGAATCAGGAGGCATCCATATTTTGCCATACATCCTAATGCTTCATTTCCTGCCATTAAACTTGAAGATGGAAACAATGGTAGATAATTCTCCAAGAGGAAAACAATGGTTCAAAAATTCCATCATACAGGTTGTGCATGATTTAAAAAGAACTTGAATCTTAAGAGGAGCCGCTTTAGTTCGGTTGGCGAGCATGGCAGTAACATCTATATCGTCACCGGTTCTAGCCATTAGTCCTACAACAAAACAAAGTTTAACATCAATTTAAAACACTGCAATATAACCGAAGTAGGAAGACATACCTAGCAATGTTAACTCAAAGTTTGAAATTTCGAAAATATCCAAAAGGCCTCGGACAGGCAAGCCCTTCGGCAATTTGTCAAGGAAAGCAACAATCTCTTGATCCTCGGCAGGGAGCCCAGACGCGGCCATGGCCTCGAAACGTGTCGGGGTCTTCATCCAGTAGAAAGGGAACATCTTCGACCCTTCGCGGTCGAAGAAGCAACTCGTCAAGTCCGACCCCTAGCATATTTTAAAGAAACCACTCTTAAAACCCTTGTTAGAGGACGTGAACGCCCTTAAGAAACCACGCTTCCGCACTTGAGCCAAGGAAACCCATTTGGTCGGCCTGCTCGGATGACAAATTTAGTAGTAGAGGAATGACAGAGGTCGGGGAGTGATGCCCAGGCAAAGGCATAAGTTCTTGAAGGCTTGCATCGCCACCCAAGAGTTCGGATGTAGCTGGGTCAGCGCCATATTTAGGGTTCAGAGCACCCCTATTTGAAAATCATCAAAGGGCAGCTTTATGCCCAAATCTTGGAACCAACACATGTAAGCGTAGAAGAAGTCGCTCTCCTCGACTCCACGGTCCAAGAACACAAAATCGGTGTCCGGGCCCTCGTCAGCAATCAAAGGCAACTCACCCTCCCCACTCCCGAAACACTTCTCCAACTTCACGAACTTGTTTAGCAAACCTTGATCCGAGAAGGAGGAGAAGTAGATACCGACTTCCCCATCTACCCACTCGTACCCAAGAATCTCCACTGTCCCATAATCGATATTGGCCCGAGCCACCACACGACCCCCCACCTCGTCGTTCGCCGCGTCGCTGTAGACCCCTAAAATTGTCCGGGTCGGAAATAAAAATTCAACATATAAATGTTGGTGAAGTCATGAGCATACCACAAGTGTTACAAAGCACTTCTGTTTGAAATGTAATAGTTTTGGTGCATCCCCGGACAGCTTCCATAAAAGATAGTTCAACGAAAGTCTGAAAAAATAGAACAAGATGCATTTCCTCAAACTCAAACAAGTCCTAGCTTACTTAACTATGTCCAGAAGATGTGAAGAGAAAAGAACCTTGACATCTTCTCCACCAATATTCTGATGAAAAAAGCTCTTGACAAAATCCTGAACACCATTGAGGGAAATGACAGAGTTAAAAAAAAAAAAATCATATTAGTCTTCAAATGAGGGACATATGACTTGTGAAAATTTCAGAGACATTTATGTTTAATTATAGAGCAAATAATTTATAAAATTTTGAGTTTCTGATACAATTAAAATTTAGAAGAAGAACATATGCACAGCCAAAGATGCCACATACACATTAAGATGCTTGGTTGCTTGTATGATTGTTGGAGCATGCACGTGTGTACACTATTAAAAACTAAATAGATCGTTCTGCCTTTGGATTGGACAAGTAATTGATGTAGTTGAATGATTTGTGTATGACTGTTTGTACAGCTCACATTTAACATTAAAACTATATACAAAGTTGACTACTATTCTTTGAAGCACAATTTCTAATAAAATTTCTACAGCAATGAAGACTAAACTATTTAAAAAATGAAATAGGATCAACTAATACAATTATAGACATGACCAACAAAAAAGAATATAGAAGCTAGTAAGTCATTACATGGTCACGAAATATCTGCTCAAATGGATTAAAGCCACTGTTGCCTCCAAAACCAGAGCTTTGTTGGTTTACAAACCCATCATGGCCAATCTACACATCCATGTTAAACTAAATCAAATAAAGAGATTGACAATAAATACAATAAAATAACAACTAAATAAAAAAAAAATGCCATTGTTCTCCAACCTCTCCCCTCTACTTTTTCACTCAAATATATATATATATATCCTCTAATATCCATAAAACAGATATTTTTTGCTCAAGTCCTACTATTATTTCCATGTTATGCTCTTATGATCTACAATTTAGGTCTCTTGTGCATATAATCAGTTACCTATTTTATAAACATAGTTAATAGTAACAATACAAGGTTCAATAAAGGAGCAAAAAAAAATCTGGAACGACATGAGACCTGGTCATACTGTTGGCGTTTTACCTCATCCTTCAAAACCTACAGTGCAGTTATTCAAAGGGGGGAAAGTCAAGAAACCAGAAGCCAGTTCACTCATCACATAACAGTTTCAATTAGAGTTCTAGGCAGTAAAAAGAACAACAACAACAGTACACCTCATATGCAATTGAAACTTCTTGAAACTTCTTTTCAGCCTCAGGATCATCTTTGTTTGTGTCAGGATGGAGCTTCTTTGCAAGCTGCAGAACATAGAGGAAAAAAAAATTTGAGATGGTAGAAATGGCAGAGGGAAAGAATTATTTTAGACAAACAATTCATGATTATCAAGAGTCTTTGAAGAATTTGTGTCAAGAAAGAATGAAGGATAAGTAAAGGGAACTGTAAGGAATATGTTAGCAAGCCTAGAACTTGTGCAGACATTAAAATATTATAAGAGAATAATACATTCTGATTCTGGTAAAAGAAAATCATAAAAAAGTAGCAAGTAAAAAATTAAACAGCAAAAGGTGAAAAACATATTTCTGTAATATATAATGTAAATAAGTGATTGCATATGTAAGATCAACATGATTTAAAACAAACTCTTCCTAGTCCAATTCAAACAATTATTTTTAATATCGCTACTTGGGAAATGACTGCAGTATCCACATACTATAAAGAAAATGAGAGTTTTGTAAGCATGTGGGAAAGACATGAAATTAAAAAAGAATGTTATAATCTGATCCCTTTAAACCAGGAAAGATACAAGAAATCATAAATTTTTACCAAGAAATAAGTCATGTTTACCAAAAATATTTTAAAAAATGTTCTGGTATCTCTGAAGCACGGATACGTGAAAATTGATCCCGTATCCGTATCCGATACGGATACGTTTTGATACGTGAAAGATACGTATCTCATCCGTATCCGCAGTGATTCTATTAAAAAAAATATATATTTTTCAGATTTGTACCCAGAACGAAAATATTCGAAAATCAACTATAAAATAGGAAGAAAACACAAATTTGAGAGGGAGATACTTTGCATTCCAAAGCCAGATAGGATTTGCTGCTGCGTTTAGGCACCGAATCCGACTTAGAAGACAACCGCACACCAGACCCAGGTAAAGCATATAATCTCCTCCTTTTCTCCGTTATTCTTCCGGTCATGCTCTGGTCTCGACTTTGTTTTTTGGGGGTTGGTTATGGGGGGGGGGGCGCTCTGGTCTCGACTTTGTGTTTGTGGGT